TATATATATATATATATATATATATATATATATATATATATCGTTTTTACTTAAACAATTTATATTAATTATTTAAATTAGTAGATTTGGAGGCTGTTTACCAAACACTTACCCGTTAAATGTTTATCAGTAAATCTAACACTATTATTTACTTACCGAGTAAGATTTTAGTCCACCAAAACAACATTGTATGCAACAATTTACCCGGTAAGCGCTTACCATGGTAAGAGTCGTCGCCCTCACTTACCTGGTAGGACTCGTGATTCTTGTCTCGTTCTTACCGGGTAAGATTCTTGGTCCTTACCATATTCACCCGACGAGTTAGTATGACTTGATAAAGGCTTATCTGGGTAAGCGTTTAATAAACAGCCCCTTAAAATAGATATGATAAATCTCACAAATTGTAAAGTTCTTAAATGATTAAGCCTGTGTATATAATATTTTAGTGACCAGATAATAATTTAATTGATCCAAAAAACATTTTAGTTTATATGAGAAATTTCCTCATGACATTAAACTAATTAAATTTTTGAATAAAAAAGTTGATTAAGGGATTTTTTGAGTCAACAACAAATATATATAAAAAAAAAGAGGGGGGTTTGAGATCGTTGATTTTTGGTTAGCGTTAGAATGAGGCTAGAGAGAGGAGAATTAACATTAATAGCTTGTCAAATATATATACTAGGGGTCTTCATCCAAACCATTAAATCGTACAAACCGTCCACATTACACTTCTTTTTCCCATCGTATCGCAAAGTGTGGTTTACAATTTTCACGATACGGTTTGCGGTTTGCATTTTTATCAAACCACACTATGCGGTGTGATTTGCGGTTCTGAGTTATCAAACCGCGGTTCAAACCGTACCACACTTGCATATTTTGTACGTTTTTTAATTTTTAGACTTTGAATTTGATCTAATATGACAATTGACAATATTAATAAATTAGTTAGACACGTCACAACTCACACGTCTAATTTAGTTTGAAGTTTATTTTTTTACTTCTTAGACTATTTTTAATTATTCAATATGTATTTAGAAATTAGATGTATTGAAACTCTTTACTTTTTTGGACCATGATCACTTTATCGTCAATTTTATAATATATTTCTGAACTTATAAATATTGAACTGTATGACATAAAGTGCGATAGATACAAATTACATAAACAACACTACACCATACCCATTTTGCTGTGCAGTTTGAAGTTTATGCTGTATGATTTGCGGTTGGGAAACTGTTCAAACCGCATATGCAATACGGTTTACAGTTTGGCCTCAAATGACACCGAACCACACTGCAAACACCCTTAATATATCATTCAATTCCATAATAGCTTCTTAATGAAAATGATTACTAAAACATTTTCAAACAACCATTAAGTTGAATAACTAAGGGATGTTTGGTTAAAAGAATTAAATAATAATTAATGAGATTGAAAACTCATTTTCTGAACATATTCAGTAGATGATAAAGATTGTACTGCAAGAACCAAGTCAAGCAAGCAAAATTTTCATTTTCTCCTATTGAAGCATGTCAACCAGTAGCAAGTAACCCTTTTATACAATAACATGTTTAACCATACAATGAAGCTAAGCCGAAACCTTCTATCCAACGGATGGGGGTGAAGATGGAAAATAGAACCAAAAACTCACCTTGTCCACCTCAAGAATGCAATTACAATGACGAAAGTAAGTATCATGCCTGCATATTTGATCCATTGATCAACTCGATTCCGCCTCTCAATGATCCTTAATACAGAATTCGACAGTCCCAGTGTGTTGAGAACATCTAACGCTTTCCGTTGTGCTCCCTGCACAAACCAAAATCAAGATTCTCTTTTAGATTAATCATCATGCCCAAATCATCTCAAAATTTTGCAAATTTTTCCTATAACCCATCTTCTATTATCTTAACAAATTCTCTTTAACAACACTTATAGCACTATTCCATACTTAATTCTTTGATTCTACTATTTCTATTCAGCATGCTTAATTTTAAGCATCATTTAGGAATTTCAACTTTCTATAACTAGAAATTTTCATAAATATGGGAACCAACTAAACTTGAAAGCTCAAGCATGCCTACTAGGATCAACTCCACTCCTGATATCAAGGTTATTGTGAATCAGAGCTGCATCACCGAGGTCTTGGTAATTTCAATCTTATCAAAGTCAATGAAAAGTTCCAACCATTGTTATCCGTGGGTAGAACTGGCTGTATACACTACAAGCTCATGATCTGTTGACTGTTGGAAGATCTTAAGTTATTAGGAGAGTGTTTGTGCACCTTAAAGTTCCACAGCTACCAAATTTTTTCTGTGCATCAAGCATATTAAGACATAATGAGTGCCAGGAGAAAGTAGGTTTATTGCCAACCACACTCCTGCTGATAGGGTTTAAAGTCCCAAGAATGGGTTCTATATATTTAGGACAGTACCAAACAGCCAGCAGGAGATGGAATTTCAGAGGAACTTTACACACACTGGAAAGGATGAAAAGGAAGAAAAGGAAGGCGAAAAGAATTAACATGTATTTAAATAGTAAGGGGAGACTGCTTGAAGAAGTGTACAAAGATAACTCTCTAATTCAAGCTCCAGAAAGTCAAGTCAATTACTCACCGGCCTCCATCCACATTAAGAACAGATGGTCTCAAAGGAAGTACAAGTTGTTATGAGTATATCATTCATACCCTTCTATTCTTTGCAATTATTCATCGAGTGTTTGGGTTTACAGAACATTGAAATATTGGAGGCCTATTGTTGTTCATACTTCATGGATTATAAGAAGCTCCCTGTTCTGAGTAGTGGAATTATCCAAGCAGGGAAAGCAGACAATCACCATGGCTAGAGGGAACTTACATAAGAAACGTTATTTAGTGATATTATGGTGAGACGTAATACACTTTTGCACAGGCCGGGGTCTTCGCAGAATCAACCACTCTACCATTTGGAGCATAGGGCAGGTCTGTGTACATCCTACCCCAGACCCTACTTTCAAGTATGATAAACTGGGTTCGTTTGGTTTGGTTTGTTTTATGGTCAGAAGTAAAAAAATTCATATTTTCATTTCTCTGTACTTCAGTAATGTAGCACTCTTCTCAAAAGATTATAGCAAAAATAATACTCAGCCAATTTTTGTGCAAGACAATTATTAACGAAATAGAATGAAGACACATGAAAAACCTGACATCTATCATGAAACTAGATTGCAATTTAATATCTTGCAACATTAACATGCCACTAATTGCACAACTGTTTCCTAATTTTTGAGGTTTGATTTCTTATATTCTATTTCTTCATCTATGTAAAATAAAAATGGTACTTCTTGAACATGTTACACACAATGCTAGAACCAAACTGCAATAATTATCACCTTAACTGCATGCCGTAAAAGAAAGATAGGGAAATAGAAAAACAGCACCAAAATGAACAATTTTAATCCAATATAGGAAATGTACAAAGAAAGACCGGACCTTGAGTCATATCATAGCCCATATTTATCATCCATATTTAAAGAATTCTTTTAATAAATCACCACTAACATGTAAAATGTAAAAAACTAAAACTAAGCATGTGCTATGATATAATGATATTGGTTGGGGAAGAGAAAATTGCAATTCTGTCCGTCACATGATATATATATATATATATATATATATATATATATATATACACGTGTGTGTGTGTGTAGTTGAACACATTAGTACATTAGTTTCATACAAAATATCAGCACATTATAGACTGCAGTTCCTTCTCAGGAAGTGTACGCAGGCACTAGTGATGGCATTGGCATAAAACAAATGTCGAAGAGTGTAGAGGAACATTATCTGTATGCTCATATGAATGGCACGGTACAGGTACCTTTAAGCGATCCCTTTGTTCAGAGTACTTAGCAAGGATAGCTGCTCCAGTTGCAGATGCCTCTTCCAACATTCGAGACGAGTTACGAGCAGACTGCATTGCTTGTGCTTCCTCATCGAAGATTCTCAAAACATGAGACGACTCCCCATTCTAAACCATAGTTAAGTAAGTTGTAATCAGAAACGCAGTAAAGATCTATTTTAGTATAAAATAAACCCTTACAATAAAATAAAATAAAAACCAGATAAATAAAGATGAAGAAGGTAATTTACATACAGCTCTTCCAAGCAATTCTGCTCTCTCTTGAGCTTCTTGCATCCTTTTCTGCTGCCGTTGGAAATACCTATCTAAACTTTCTCTGAAAGAATCAGCCTCTTCAGCCACTTGCTCCACTTTTCTGACACATTAAATGTTGTTCAATCTTTCTGCCTAGTATCAAATTAAACTCAGATTTCATGATCATGTTACTTCAGTTTCTTACTTTTAGAATTGTTATCACACATCTTTACGACCACATCAGCTTGCAAAACCATGTGGATTTCTTCAACGTCTGTGTCTGTAATTTCCTTCATTCCGGTGACAATATTATTTTTAAGGTCCTAATTTCTATTTGGTTAAAAGATATAAGATCCCCACATCTGATCAGTATAGCTGTGTGTTTGGGCATACACGCCCTTGCTTGGAGCGATGCATCGGGATCTTATACAAACAGTTATGATTTGTAAGGCTTCAATATTCTCATTGTGGTTCCGATCTCTACCCCTAATTCTTTGCTAATTGTACATCGAACTTAAATTCGACCAAACACAGATTTACACAATTGTGAATAATAACTTCGGAACAAACGGAGATACATATGAAGATAAACCCTAGAATACGAACCTTTTCCAGAGATCGCGCTGAGGCTTGGAAGCAACAGATCGCCAGAGTCCGTCCATATCGGAACAGAGGGTTTGAATATGAGCGATATCTCTCCGGACGGCAACTGCAAGCTCCGGAGAACCGACGGCACCAGCCGAAGAGGAGAATTCTAGGCGTTCGAGGCGTTCCAATCCATCTCTAGTTTTCAACAGCAATCGCCTCGAGCTCTGATACAGCTCTGATAGCGTCCCTCCTCCTTCCACGGCCATAGAAAAACAAGAAAAAGGACGAGCGATCAAACTGAACGGAGAGGAGTCGGAAGAGATTCGAAAACTCGTTGCAACAAGATCCAAATGCCACTCCTTCCGAACTCCTAAAATCAATTTTCATATACTATGTTCAAAATGTTTTAAAATCGGTTAAAATCATTAGTTTTGTAAAAATAAAAGGGAAAATTGTATTAAAATGGAACCAACTTTCATCTAATTCCTATTTTGGGGAACCAACTTTTAAAATTATCATTTAAGGGTCTCTATCAAACTTTTTGTTTATTTAAGGGTCTGGTTGACCTGTTTAGCAGGTAACAAGTAATTTATGATGAGTTGGCAAATTATAATTTAAAGATATATTAGGTGGATATTAATTTGCCAAATCATGAATATTATTAAAAAAAGATTAACAATCAAAATTTGAGTATCTTCAAAATCTGAGTATCGAAGAGTCTCCCTTGCTCGACTATCTCCTCCGGCGGCCTCTMCGGTGGACCCGGACACCAGCCATCGTTGCCCTCTCCGGTCGACGCGGACACCAGCCATCGTTGCCCTAGTCTATCGTCTCGACTATCTCCTCTGAGTGCCTCTCCGGTYGACGCCCGCAACAGCCATCGTTGCCCTCGTTGCCCAAGACGTCGCTGTTCACACTTTTGGCTGCCTCTCCGTCGACGCCGGCACCAGCGGCATTCACAAGGTATGAATCCTCTCCAATAAGTTCTTTCATCATGTGATTCTTAATCTCTTATTGGTGTTTCTTCTCCCGTGTTTCTTCCAAGTGATTTGATTGTGCCCTAAAT